ATTTTAAATAAAATGATGCTTCACATCAATACGAACTCAATTTTTGCAGATGAGCAGTTTGAATTTTGCCATTCAACTACTCATCAACTCTTAAGAATTGCCAATTTAATTTGTTCAAACAGATCTGGAGGCTGCTCAACTGGAGTTGCTCTTCTAGACATAGAAAAGGCATTCGACAGTAGTTGGCATGAAGGTTTGATTGCTAAATTGAAAACGATTAATTTACATTTTACTCAATATTATGAATGTTTTTTAGCTTCACTATGTCTGGTCCATTGTTGGGGTGTTTGTTTTGGGTGTTAGCGCATTTGGATCCAGTTTTGCCAACTTCGTTGGGTGTTGAGATTTTTGCGCACCGAAATCTTCGAACTCGCGGAACATAGTGGCCTCAGGCCAGGTTGCAGGATCCAGTGCCTTAGTCTTCAATCCTTTGTCGATGCCAACTTTGAAGGCTACGAATGACAGCGTGCTGATGTTCTTTCCCTTGGGTACAAGTTTTACGACAACAGGGTTGTCATCTGTTTCCAAATTGGCATTCACCATGACAGAAACCGCTTCATTGCCAACTTCCGGAGGAATATGAGATAAGTACAGCCAGAATTTTAGTTCTCTCTGGTCAGTACTTGTGGGGACAACAACTACTTGCTACCCACCTGACATGCATCAGAAGCTTGTGTTTCACCATCAACATCTCGTTGGCGTTTGGATGTCACGATTTGCTCGAGCCCTTTAACAATATGCTGTCGAATTTCAGATGATTTCCTTGTGGTTAAATTCGTCATCAACTGATGAGCATCCATATGACTGTCCTCCAAATAAAGGATGATATTTATTTGAAAATTGGCTGTAAAACATACTGGTCTCAAAGGACAACAATTTAAGGATATGATGACTCGCAAATGCTTTAGATTAGATTATTAAATTCGATTGTTTACATTTCCATATTGAATAGCCATAAACAGCCTTTAATCATGGATACACAAATGTAGTGTTGGTAGAGGAAACTTCCTCCACTACGACATAAATTATTCAAGTTTTCCACACTTTACCAATGTTCGCACCACCTCTGATAGCGATGGCTATGCTTCCACCTCGTTTGTCTGCTCAGAGCAGCAAATGACGTTCGATATAATTATTTACATCATCGTTTTGAATGATTTGCGTTAAACTGGGTTTAGATTAGGCAAGTCAAATGATCAACTCAGGTGAATTCAATTGGCTTGAAAAGTTGAGCCTGATTCAACTTTTTTCAATTGAAGTGAGTTGATCAAGTCAGTTGAATGGCATGGTTTATACGTTCAATTCGCGTTCAAGTCAGTTGAATTCAACTGACTTGATCAACTGACTTTCCCTGTCTAAACCCAGCTTTAAGGGGCTGAACCTGTACCAAATGCATTTAAATTTAAGATGACTATCATTCTGCAGAGAGCATTACGCATTCCAACTGAAGGTCCTATCCCTTTTCATAACAATGTTCATCCTGTATTCGAGAGGAACATTGTCAATTCAAAACAACCGTCATCCAGTTGCAGCTATCATTCGAAAAGGCGATTTTGATGCTTCGATTTGAATGGTCTGAGGTTTCATTCGAACAGAGGACGGTGGTTTGGTACAGTGTGGGTACGTGAAAATAAGGTTTTATGTCTAAATACTCGGGGAGTGGTACACATATAATGGTTCTATTTCTATTTTTTGAACCAGTGATGGCAAATGCACTTTTTTTGTGCAAAACCATCGTCCAGCAAATAAGTGCAAGATTTTGGCACTGGCAGCAAAACAACCCACCCAGTGGAGCTCCAATCCACTCCTATAAACACATACATCTACAAGAAAAAAAGGAGCATAAATGTCGATATGTATATATGCCAAAATCTTCCTGGGGAAGATCTGCCTGCAGAAAACCCATGAAATCCCGGGATTACCGTGCTAGCCATCTTGTATCCACAAGATGCACTGCAGGTGAGTAAAGTGCGCACAATAATTCTGTGAATTATTAAAACAAATTGCCGATCGTTCAAATTGATCGATGCATAAAATGGTCAACATAAGTTGACAAGTGGATATTTTCTGCAGTCTTACCGTAACAAGTGCAAAGAAAGAGGGCAATACATGCAATTCCTTGATCTTTCACTGTTGTTGCTGGTACAAAAATCCCTTGTTCCATCAACAGGAACAATCAATTCTAGATAGAGCTGGAATTAGGGCCTAACAGCTTTTGTAAACAATGACTTGTATCGAGGATTTCTAGATATTCAAGGCTTGCCCACTCAAACCAACATCCTCATCGGGTAGGGAAAGACTTCCACTATCCGATGGTTATGCTGGTCTGCGTGGGCGTGCCTTGAGTTCCCAGAAATCATCGATAGAAGTCATTGTTTACAAAAGCTGTTTCGCCCTAATTCCAGCTCTATCTAGAATTATGATCCGGTGATCCATGATTGATTTTGATTGAGTGTTGAACTCCTAAATCAATTGAAAGTCTCAATAAATTTTAACTGTGAAAATTTCAAAACAACTTTGCAAATGACTAACGATTACCTCCTTATTTCCATTTTAGGACAATCGATCCCTAGGCCAGTGGATCTGACGAAAGCGGTGGTATTTGGGCAGGATATATGTATCGAGGTTCCGAGGACATAACTAGATGACTCCTCGCCAACCTGTGCAGCCTATTCCCGGTTACCTGCCTCGTCATTCCACCTTTATGTACCAGGGAAAATGATTGTAAGCTTCCTAAAAATAAAATAAAGTGGCTTCATTATCTTTTCAAGCGTCGCACGACCCTTCTGGTCTGGGCAAAAGTACGAAATAGTTCATGAAAAAGAAAAGTCTAGTCAATGTCAAACATTTTGTGAATGGTAAGTATGAGTGTGCTACTTTTTACATCATTAATAATACATTTTTATCACGGTCGAGTGATTATGATTTTTAAAATATAAATTTGGACGAACACGAACAAGTTAAAATCGTTTGAACTAATTTTGGTTTGTGATGCCACAAAGACAGACCAGCTGGGAACCCGGCCATGCAACCGAGCATTGAAGCTGCGTTCTTCATGCGTGACGGTAGGACTAACTGTCAACGATGACAAAAGGAACGACGAACAATGATATACGGGCAGACGCCAATGAAACTATTAATATAACGTGTTCTAGGAGAAAATATTGAATTTACTAGTGAAATTTGTTGGATACTGGAATTGAAATATTACCGGTTTATTGCAACTAAATAGAAATTTGGAATAGGTAATATATGGGTATTAACGTAAAAAGATTACTCATTTACTGAATATATTTAGGCCCAAGACCATCTGTAAAGCATAGTTGAAGTGAGCAGTGGATTCGAGTAATTGGGCTACTGAATCGTAAGTAAGGTTATGGAGGAAACTAACAGTTTATTAATTATTTTACACCTATTTTAGTTTTGAAGCAACTGATAATAAAGCTGTCGAAAGTCAGAACAAGCTCAAACGGATACCCTGCTCTCTCTGATAACATTCTTCAAAAGATTCAACAATGAGCGAAGGAGGAAACTCTTCCCAGGGAGCACTGGAGGTGGACGCTTCAATGCTCGGCTGTGTGGCCTGCGACCGTCCCAATTCAGCCGACAACTTTGTCAGTTGTGATCGTTGTGAGGGCTGGTAGCATATGTCCTGTGCTGGAGTAACGGACTCTATAGAAGATTGTGAGTGGGTGTGCATCAAGTGCCTCCCTGTTCCTGCTCCGTCGATATCCGTCACTTCTACTTCTTCCGCGCGTCAAGCCAGACTGCAACTGGAACTGCGGCGGCTTACTGAAATGCGTGAGCTCGAGAGAATGGCCATGAATGTGGAACTCGAGCGCAAGTTCTTAGAACGGAAGTACCAGATGATGGAGAAATCCTTGCAGGAGGAAGAAGATGATCTACAAAGTTCTCGTAGTCGCACCATTAGGCAAGAAGACATGAAACGGGCTAAGGACATCGAAGATTGGGTCGAGAAACAATCCGCTAATTTGGAAGAGTCTGGTTCGATTAGAAGCCTTTCAGTGAAGTTGATGGTGAAAAAGTTAGAGAAGACGAAAATTAATCCCGGATCTGGTACTCATTCCAGGAAATCACCAGCCGTTATTGGTAATTCGGCCGATATCAGAGTAGGAACCAGAATTCAACTACCACCACCGCCTGTTTCCTCCGGAGAACAAGGTTCGATGGATCTAGGAAAGAGAAAGGAATTGTTGCAACCCCCAGAAGACAAACCGTCTGATCGAGCAAATTGCGGCTTTGCAGGACCATCTAGCGAGGTGCAAAATGCAGCTACAGCCAACGGCAAGTGTTCCGAATCCGTACGGAATGTTGAAACCATGCGAGCCGGACGTCAGCAAAGGTGCTGTACCTAAAACCTGTTCGAAATCGGTTCGACCTGCGAAGGAGAGGCTGTCTGTATTTATAACCAAGCCAGCCCCCGGGAACGTGAATCCAGAAGGAAATAGAGAAACCAGTGCTAAGCGTAAAGAGCAAAACCCCAGAGTAACCCCGCCAGAACACCTCTCCCCAATAAAGCAGCGAAATGCTACTAATGCACCGCAGCAACAACGCGCTCATGGGCCGCAGTGGATTACTGAAACAGAACCTCGTCTTCTGAGTTCAATAGCGCGTAGACCAAATGAAACGAGTCAGGAACGAAACCCAACGAACCCAGCTAGCGTACATGCGAATATCATACCCACGACACACGATGAGCAGCAACTAAACGAAATCGATCCGGTATTCGTGGGAAGCCAGCGAAGGACCCGCGCACGAGCTGCGGAACCACAAAACCTGCGAGAAGAAGGCTACGATATTGGACCTACACACCAACAACTGGCTGCTAGGCAAGTTCTACCACGTGACTTGCCAACATTTTCAGGAAATCCAGCTGATTGGCCCGTCTTTATTAGTCAATACGAGTACACTACCGATGCCTGTGGGTATAGCGACGGGGAAAACATGGTACGCCTCCAACGGTGCCTGAAGGGCCCAGCATGGGAATCTGTACGCAGTCGTCTGATCCTACCGGCTTCAGTCCCCTAGTGATCCAAACACTCAAAATGCGCTACGGACGTTCCGAGCTACTGATCGAATCACTAGCAGAAAGGGTGAGAACCGCACCTTCGCCAAAGGTAGACAAGCTGGAAATGATAATCGAGTTTGGTACTATGGTGCAGGCACTTTGCGATCATATTATCGCTGCACATCTATACGACCATCTTGCGAACCCCACTTTGCTGAAAGATTTGGTGGAGAAACTACCTGCCGAGTATCGAATGAGGTGGGCTGGACATCGTAGACAGCAAAGGGAGGTAAATTTGAAGACCTTCAGCGATTTCATGGAGGAGATCGTCAGCGATGCCTACAGCGTATCGAACGTAGCCACTACTTTCGAACGATACAGCAAACAGGATCGCCCGAAGCCACGAGATCGGAATTTAATTCACACTGAAGCGGGTAAGGTGGATTGCTTGGTGTGTAAAAGGGAAGGACATCGCGTAAAGGATTGCAAAATATTCTCCACCTTACCGGTCGATGACCGCTGGAAGAAGGTGCAAAGTTTGCAATTGTGCCGAACCTGCGTGTCGAATCACGGGCGAAGAGCGTGCCGCAGTACGAAACGCTGTGAGGTCGACGGATGTCAATATCGGCACAATCCACTCTTACATGCTTCCGCTTCGAAGTACAAGGGACAAACCAGCGAGTCGCATGTACAGTATCACTTCAACGAAGCATCCATACCGTCTTTACTTTTCCGCATACTTCCGATCACATTACACAATGGTCTCAAAAGCGTGAAAACGTTTGCCTTTTTAGACGAAGGATCATCCGTAACCATGATCGAAAGCAGTTTGGCAAAGGAATTGGGCGTTACCGGGTACAAAAAGCCACTCTGCTTGAAGTGGACCGGTGACGTGACCAGGGAAGAACTTGACTCACAGCGCATCTCGATCCTCATCTCCGGCTGCGGAAATTCTAAACGGTACAGAATGAACGACGTTCGCACAATCCAAGCTTTGGATCTTCCTATGCAGAGTCTACCAATCGACAAGCTGATGAATATTTACCCCCACCTCGCTGGACTTCCTGTTTGAGGTTATCACAACGCAGTTCCCAAATTGCTCATCGGTGTCGATAATCTGCGACTGGCGTTTCCGTTAAAAACTCGGGAAGGTGTTACGGGTGGCCCTACGGCCGTCAAGACACGGTTAGGCTGGTGTGTCTACGGAGGTCAGCGTACTCAAGAACATCCAGAATACAGCTATCACATCAGTGAGTGTGGGGGAGAAGAGGCCTTTGACGAAGCCTTGAAGAAGTACTTTTCTTTTGAGGAGGCCGGAATTAAATCAACGGGTGCGGTAATGTCTGAAGAGGACAAACGATGTGCCCGAATATTAGAAACTACTACTAAACGAGTCGACGAGAGGTTTGAGTCGGGGCTGCTGTGGAAATATGATAACTTTGAATTCCCAGACAGTTACCCGATGGCGGTCAAACGACTCCAGTGTCTCGAGAGCAGAATGGCTAAGGATCCGTCGCTCAAGCAAAACATCTTGCGGCAGATTGACGAGTATCAGCAAAAGGGCTATGCGCACCGAGCGACAACGGAGGAATTAGCAGAAACGGACCCTCGTCGCACATGGTATCTCCCCCCTCGGAGCGGTGACCAACCCGAACAAGCCAGGGAAAGTTCTATTAATCTGGGACGCGTCCGCAAAAGTGGATGGCATATCCTTAAACTCGGTTCTACTAAAAGGACCCGACATGGTAACTCCACTGTGCTTCGTAGTCTTTCGATTCCGACAATATACTGTAGCCGTAAGTGCAGACGTGAAAGAGATGTTCCATCAGGTCCGTACGAGAGGTGCGGATCGTTCTGCACAAAGTTTCCTGTTCCGTGACGACCCTTCGGAAGAACCTCAAGTGTTCCGTATGGACGTTGCTACATTTGGTGCGACGTGTTCACCAGCCATCGCACAGTACGTCAAGAACGCTAACGCAAGATCTTTCGAGAAGGAGTTACCACGAGCTGTTGAGGGGATAGTTTTCAATCACTATGTTGACGACTATCTGGATAGCTTCTCCACCGAGAATAAGGCGAAACAAGTTGCGTCTGAAGTCCGAGAGATCCACAAACGAGGAGGGTTCGAGATTCGGAATTGGTGTTCAAATAGCCCAACGGTTCTTCAGCATTTAGGGGAGAGTCAACAGCATCCGGTGAAGCAAATGTGTCTCGATGAAAAGGAGCAATCTGAACGCGTCCTGGGAATGCGTTGGATGACAAAGTCCGATGAGTTATGTTTTTCAGCTACGATGCGTGGAGATGTCGCATCCATCATCGAGAACGACCACAAGCCAACAAAGAGACAGATTCTTCGGTGTGTGATGTCTCTCTTCGACCCACTGGGATTCCTCGCCCCATATTTGGTCTTCGGCAAGGTACTCATTCAAAGCGCTTGGCGTTTAGGAATCGGCTGGGATGAGAAAGTAGACGATCGGTTGTTCGAGCAATGGCTTGCACATCAATAGCGTTCGGATTCCAAGATGCTACTTTCGAAAGACAGGGGCCACAAATTTAGCAAACGTTCAACTACATACCTTCGTCGATGCAGGCCGGGACGCTTGTGCCTACGTGTCATACCTTCGAGTTGTCAACGAAGATGGAGAAGTGGAAGTAGCGCTAGTTTCCGCAAAAACGAAGGTTGTTCCGCTGAAACCAGTCACTATTCCGAGATTGGAGCTTCAGGCCTGCGTGCTGGGAACGCGTCTCGCAAAATACATTATCGACGGCCATTCCTACTCGATCAAAAAGCGGGTATTTTGAAGCGACTCAAGTGCAGCCCTCAGTTGGATTGGTGCGGATCCTCACAAGTACAGTCCCTATATAGCGTACCGAGTGTCCGAAATATTGGAAGCGACCGACCGCACCGAGTGGCGCTGGGTAGCATCGAAAGATAATCCAGCTGACGAGGCTACGAAGTGGGGAGCCGGACCGTATTTCAATTCCAACAGCATCTGGTACAGCGGACCTGAATTTCTATACTTACCTGAGCGAGATTGGAAGAGAGGTGATCCGGAAAAATCAGGAGAAGAAGAGCTACGAGCTTGTTACGTTCATCGGGAGATACGTGTTCCCGAATGTATTGTAGACATCGAACGATTCTCGAAGTGGACGCATTTGCAACGCGTCATGGCATACGTTCACCGTTTCACCAACAACTGTCGCAATGTTCGCCTTAACACCAAGGTTCTTACGGAGAAGGAGCTGAAAATGGCCGAAAACTCAATTTTCCGACTAGTTCAGTGGCAATCCTTTCCTGACGAGATTATCACCCTGTCTACAAATCGTTTCCTCCCGTCAGAGCAACAACGACCGTTAGAGAAATCCAGCACTATCTACCAGGTCACACCAATGCTGGATGAATTTGGAGTTCTACGCGTGAACGGCAGAATCGCGGCAGCGCAATGTGCTTCAACTGATGCCAAATACCCCATCATCCTTCCGAGGAAACATCGACTGGCAGCGCTTCTGGTGGATCACTATCATCGTCAACTCAAGCATGGCAACAAAGAGACCACAGTCAATGAGATTCGTCAACGTTTTCATATTCCGAAGCTTCGCTCTTCCGTGAATTTCGTCACAGCTCGGTGCAATCTTTGCATGATACGGAAAGCACGACCGAGCATTCCACAGATGGCCCCACTTCCGCAAGCCAGATTATCACCATTCACCCGTCCATTCAGCTACGTTGGACTGGACTATTTTGGTCCCTTTCTTGTGAAAGTTGGGCGTAGTAAAGTGAAAAGGTGGATTGCGCTCTTCACTTGTCTGACGATACGAGCGTCCACCTGGAAATTGCGAGCAACTTGACAACTGAATCCTGTGTAGCGTGCGTTCGTCGATTCGTGTGCCGTAGAGGATTTCCCGTTGAAATCCACAGCGATAACGGCACCAACTTTTAAGGTGCAGAGCGATTACTACGTGAGCAAATCAATACCAAGCTTGCGACTACGTTCACCAGTTCAACAACAGCTTGGCGATTCATTCCACCCGGGTGCACCTCACATGGGCGGCGCCTGGGAGCGAATGGTCAGATCCGTGAAAACAGCGCTGACGGCAGCCTATTACAATGAAAAACTAGACGATGATGCTCTGCACACGATGATTGTAGAAGCAGAATCCATAGTCAACAGCAGGCCGTTGACCTACCTTCCGCTGGACTCTGTGGAGCAGGAAGTAATCACCCCTAACCATTTCCTTCTAGGGAGCTCAGCCGACGTCAAGCAACCAGTCGTGCAGTACGAAGATAACAACGCACTCTTGAAGCGATCGTGGGCCATAATCCAAGAACGGCTGAACTCGTTTTAGAAGCGGTGGGTACGCGAGTACTTACCCACACTAACTAGAAGAACGAAATGGTTTGGCTCGGAGAGGAATGTTGCAGCAGGGGACCTAGTAATAATCATAGATGATACCAGAAGGAACGGATGGACGCGTGGTCGCGTTTTGGGAGCCATAACTGCTGCGGATGGCAGAGTTCGGCAGGCGATCGTTCAAACGAATGGAGGTATACTCAGAAGACCGGTCTCCAAGCTTGCAGTTCTTGATGTGGCCAAGGAAGATGGAACCAAAGAGGGTCACTGGTTCCACCGGGGGGAGAATGATGCCACAAAGACAGACCAGCTGGGAACCCGGCCACGCAACCGAGCATTGAAGCTGCGTTCTTCATGCATTACGGTAGGACTAACTGTCAACGATGACAAAAGGAACGACGAACAATGATATACGGGCAGACGCCAATGAAACTATTAATATAACGTGTTCTAAGAGAAAATATTGAATTTACTAGTGAAATTTGTTGGATACTGGAATTGAAATATTACCGGTTTATTGCAACTAAATAGAAATTTGGAATAGGTAATATATAGGTATTAACGTAAAAAGATTACTCAATTACTGAATATGTTTAGGCACAAGACCATCTGTAAAGCATAGTTGAAGGGAGCAGTGATTTCGAGTAATTGGGCTACTGAATCGTAAGTAAGGTTATGGAGGAAACTAACAGTTATTAATTATTTTACACCTATTTTAGTTTTGAAGCAACTGATAATAAAGCTGTAGAAAGTCAGAACAAGCTCAAACGGATACCCTGCTCTCTCTGATGACAGTTTGTGTCCTCTCGTTCAGGACCTCTTTTGATTTTACGAATCCCTTGTAAATTTACACTTTTCATCGGTCTCGTATCAAGTGTGCGGTTTTAGACATTCGTGCTAAGCACGGATCCCTGCCACCTCCCGTTGGAAAATCCTTAGATTTTCATACTTTAAGCGATCCTCCGAATACCTTTCACGATTTTACGTTGGGCGGCAATTGTGACTATGGCATGACCAGACACTCCCGGGTAACTAACTCAGTATCATGAGACCCCTGAACTGTGTCGCAGGGCCGGCATGTTACTGAGTATTCGGAGGGGCTACACGGACAAACTATGAAACACAGGAATATTCACATTTTCTAAAACATTTATTTGCCCTTTTCTGTGGTGTGTGGGTGTGGGTTTTCACATATATGTGGCGTGTATGCGAAAGTTTATGAACAGTACGGTACTCACTGTTGCAGCAGATTCTCCTTCGGCGTCACGACGCTGGCGTTGGCCCACACGGCTGCTCCTGCACTACCGTGTGACCGGAAACTTGCGCCGCGGGCTGCAGACAGTGTTGTTGCCGCTTTGGGAGAATGGCGGATCTGGTGGCGTTCATCAGCCACATACGGCTCAGCAGGCGTTGCTGGCTCGTTTGGCTGGCAGGCGTCTTCCGTCGTTGACGGCATCGGCTGACCGTGGCATGGCCACCTTGGTCGAGCCGAGACGGGACCATGTTTGGTAATTAAGGCCACCGGCCTGAGGGAATCGTCCCTGACGGACGATCGAGGATCATTTACTATTAGGCTCGGAAGCCATCTTGACTTCCGAGCCGAGCCGTGTGAGACCGTTTTATTTACCGGTACGAGGTGTGCAAAAGCACAAGAGGTCTTGAGAATTATCACAATTCAGTCAAGGAAATTTCCGTCAGGAAATATATCCAAGATGGCTAGCTATTCATCATCCAATTTGCGCATCCATTGTTATTTTAAAGCCAAGATTTTCCTCCCTTCAGTAACGTTACGTTGTTGTTTGCAGCGGCACAAACCCTCTCGCTCTTGTGTGTGTCTACTGTTTGAGGTTTAACAAAACGTGAATTTTCCAAACAACAACAACTCATACAAACGAAAATCCACGGATTGTAACCAACTGGTTACAATTGAAATACTGACATGCAAGTATAGAAAATTTGTTTAAAATACTGAATTGTAAAAGCAAAAGCAATGTGATACTTAAATATATATCATAACAATCGAGGCTGTTAAGTTACTGTAGTAGCTGGAGCACCAAGCTTAAAATGAAATGTTATTTAATATGAATTTGGAACAAATAAAGAATTTGTTGATTATCCTTACTGAGAAGTAGACCGTGGGTATATGTTTAACATTATTGCCAAAATAATCAATTTGAAGCACTGATAACACAAATTGGCATTTTTACTAAATAGTAGAAGGGTCTGTGCCTAGGGGCACGAACGCTTGAAGTAGGACCGCTAGTGGATGGAACAAATGTGAACATTTAGTTCTTTTAATTGATCAATCATCAATTATCTTAACTCTTTCCGTTTTTTATTTGTAAGTGTATCAAATTTGTAGTATTTATTTCAAAGAGAAAGTTGATGAAGAGAATCCAAGGGACTGTCAACTTGAGTATTTTCGATTCATCTACTTGGCTTTAAAAGGTTTAAAAGGTGTATTTTGAATTTTTTGTTATGTATGAGTTTTTAAGTTTTGTGCATTTTGGTATTAAAGTGTATTCAATTCACCCCTCACAGGATTTCCTTCCGAATTATGTGAATGGGGCGGGGCGGAAAGTGACGATGATTAATCTCACCAATACATTCGGGTCTAGAATTCCACACCTTCTATAGAGACCAGGTTGAGCCTTGATAGCTAGCTGCTTGCGGGAACAAATGTCCAAATAATACTCTTGACAAATTTATGGTGGTCCTGCAAAGGACCGTTTTGTAGTGATGGTTGAGTAATTCTGAGCTTGGTGTTCAACACGGATGAGGCTGTCGAGCTGTATGTCGTTTGGAGCGAGGGTGACACGCTTGGCATAGATGACCGACCCGCAGCGACTCACGAAGAGCTGCTGATTCCGATCCATAGCATAGCGGTGCAGCTTCTTCCTCCTTTGATGGTTGCATATGTGGGCTCTGCAGCTCGCTGCTTGCATACAGCCTTTCGTTGTTACTGGAGAACAATTTTCAACGCCACACGCCGAAAGCACTGCTACTGCTGCTACTGCTGCTACTAATTTTGACGACCGAACACCACCACACAGTGGTGTGGTCGTTGGGAGCGTGTGGTTCTGAGTATGGCGATGAGTGTGTAAAATATTACGCAATTCCATCCTCCCTATTCGCACGCGCCCGAGGATCGGAGGCGAATGTCATTTCGACTTGTTTCGTCTGCATACTACTCTCTGACGACTGTGCTGGGGAAGCAGCATATGCATGTAGGTAATTAGTAGATTTGTTAGTTAATTCGACGCTTTTGGACAATGCTGGACATTTCCCAGTTTTTCAATAGTTTCTTGTTAAAAATCAACATTCAAAAGCATTGTTATCGATGCATAACCATATTTCTGATCGATTGGTGATAAAATTTTTGAAATTGGACCAGGGGCAGCTGAGTTATTAACGTTCAAAATCTTTCTTAATTTGTTACATGTTCCATTTTCGGTTTTCACAAAGTGTACCCCCGTATAGAAATCAAAGACGTAGTCCTACGTCAAAAAGAACAACTGTGCAAATTTTCATCAAAATCGAGGCCGACAAATTATAAAAAAATTAAAAAATTCGTCAATCTGTAGAGAATTGCTCTATTTGGTTTTAGAGTAATCTCTTCTGAAAATTGAAATTTAGGATCTAGGCTCTTAAGAGCAAAATAAAAAAAGGCGTTTGTTCCGAATTCCAAAATAAGCGTTTTGGCCAAGTTTGGCTCAAATCGGTGACATCGGCCACAACTTTTTTTTAAATTCTGTACCCACTTGAGCTGGAATGACCCATACAGAAAACATAGCTAGCATACAGTCTTCCTATTTAGCAAGAACCAATCGGCTCGCATCCCAACTAATCAATATCGCACTTTATGGTAAAAGCATTCGCTCCTTCAAGGTCTAGCTTCCATATTGGCAATATCCATATAAATTTGAATCATCACCAAAACTTACAGCGGGCGAGGTTCCATCGAAGAAAGCACGGCATGGGCATCATAAAAGCTCCGATAAAATAGTAAAATTACGGCTGACAACTTTCAGCAGCCAAAATAGCAACGTCCGCCAACGTTTCATCTCCCCCCTCACACCAGCCAGAGATCGACGTAAAACGTAGAGACCAAACTCGCTGGCAAACTGTCCCGATAAGCCACTCTCCTGCTACTGACCCATTTGACACCGGTCGGTCGGTTGGACGGTCCACACCGCCGCCGATGAAACGTAGCGGAGCCAATAAGGTGTGTATGTAACCCGATCGTCCACAGCCCCTGCAATGCCCGTCCGTATCCTGTTCCGGTTCGTTATTGGCCAGGGGATGATGATTAGAGCAGAAAAGGCACCCCGTTCGCCCGTTGCGGGATGATGGTGGGCAAAGTTTCTGCTTCTTTCAGGCGGTGATGTTTCGTGACTTTGTTGCTGCATGTGTATTTTATAAGAAGCGCGCCAACGGAGAAAGCCAATTCGGACGGGGAGCGTGGTGAGAAAAAAAAAGAAAGTTGTGCAATAAGAAAGTTTAATAAATGTCCAAAGTTTCATATTTAATTGAAATATATTGAATAAATTCCCGGTGGGATTTGTGGTTGTGATTTCTTTCATTTTTGCGTGGATGATGTTCGCACTATTCCGTTGCTTCCGATGGCAGGCTTCAGGAATGGGTTCGTATCGAAACTGGTTTACAAATCACGGGGTGCAGTACTGTTTGACGTCTCAGTTGATCCAGCAAAATGTAGATGTCAGCCCTATCAACATAATACCTTAAGACTTTATGCCTCCAGTAGATAGCAACTGGAATAGCATTCCAAAATTACGAATCACGATACTTGTCCAATCTTAAATTAAATTCTCGCCATTTTCGTCACCGTTCCCGTGCAACTGTTTCAAAGTAAAACAGCAAAACTGGAGAGGTTTTAAGAACCTCATTAACAAGTTTGAGCAAAGTGTCACTTGGAAGCAAGTGCAGTTTTACGAGAGCTCTTCCATTTTCACAATCAATTTATCTTCAACCGGG